TTTAGGAGGTACAACAACTTATCCCACCAGTGCTGGTGATCCTCAGAATTTTTACTGTGCAAGCAATTTACAAGGTTCTCAAGATTTGCCTCTGAATGATCAGACTCTTCCTAACCTAGCAAGCAACGGTGATTCAAATGACCTTAGCTCTTTGTGGTCAGCTTTTATACAGTCCCATGACCCTTCATACATGTCTGACTCATGGACGCCATTACGCCATCACCCGTACGGCTTTCGGGGACGCTCACTCTCAAGTCCTGATGACTTTGGATGTTACCCATATGGTGCCTTTGATTGCAGCAGTGCTCCTGTCATGGCCGATACCCCTGTGGAAAACAGTACTTATTCTCCAGGAATATATCCAGGATTTTCTCCTGGATTTAACTACAGTAGTGCCGCTGATGAAGGACGGAATATGTATTCCCAGGCCATGAATCATGTCTTATTCAGACCTGACATCTGCTAGTGAAAACTATGGGAGTACTGAGTCGCATATATCTAACACATCAGATATCAGTACCAGCTCTAGTACAAGTCATGCTTCTTCGTCCGCTGCTGCTAAGCTTAAAAGCTACTCTGATGTTGCCAGCATGCTTCCAAGTTCTGATCAAAAGCCTCGAATCAATGCACAACACAATCCCAAACCATCAAAAGGCGCAACTAATAAACTACCCCGAAGAAACCCTTCAACAAAGAGGAACATACCACCAAGACATGCAAAACAGTTGCAAAATTCTGGACATGTTTTAAGTAACCACCGTAAACCTCGCTCTAAGTACGAGTTGGAGGATTTAGGAATGTTTTACACAAAAAAATCTCCGCAGAAAAGTACTATTGATCCTAACTCCAAGTATGGTTTGGACGACTTTTCCATAGATCCACCGTTAACAACCAGAGATGAAAAAATACTGTCTTCTAACAAATGTTCATATACTGGTGACTCACAACAATCCCACCAGCATGGTGCTAATATCAACTCTTTTTCAGATGAGAAAGTTGATAGTGCTGAATCTGATTCATGTTCTGTTTGCGAAGCCTCATCAATATCTCAAAATAGCAATGAAGACCACTCAGATCAAATGCATCGTGTTGAGGAGTCTGGTAACCATGGAAATCTGAATTACAGTTTCCAGAATACTCAGTACAGGACATCCTGCAGTGTGGGAACTAGATTTGATGTTACAACTGGAAAGTATGTCAGCATTGACAGGGATGAGGAGAGAGAGGCAGATGTGGAAGTTCAGGAAATCTTGAAGTCTGGTAAACAATCACAGCAGAGTAATCCCGGAAAAGAGAAACATACAAATGCTTTCTTTGACCCAAAGAGAATTTTTCAAAATGATGTTGATGAACCGAGATGTGAGGACCTGAAGACTAAAAAACGGACACCTGAAAAACCTCCTGTGAAGAAAGAGAATCAGACAGAAAAAAAACCCACAAAGAATAAGCCAAAGTCGAACCGTGATAAAACTTTGTCTCCTCAGAAGTCATCAAGCACTGTTAAGCAGCAACATCAGAGATCGACTGGAAGCAAAGAGAAACGTCCAGATAGACCCTCTACTGGGAATCGCAAGAAATCAAGCGCTGATAGTAATGGAGGTTACGGCGACAGTGAGTACAATTTTTCCTTTTCATTGTTTTTCACACAATTACAATAATATTGAAACATATTCAAACTTTACACATGCAAATTGCCTTGTATATAGATGTGTCTGAGTGCTATATTAAACAGAATATAATTTACGTATTAGAAACACCATAACATACTGTTTGTTTACAAACCCCATAGTCTAGTAAATTACATGAGGGTGCTTGCAAGACTGGTTTATATCTGTAAACCACTATCAAGTGGGTGTTTCATATGATAAGATTGAAAGATTCAGCGAGAAGTTGCATTTCTTAACTGGAACCTCAATAGTTAATTAAAGGCTCTACATGCTATGGTGATTGTTGTGGGTTTAAAATCCAACAAAATAGTTGAGGAAGAAGTCTAATTTCTTGATCTATTCTAAAGTCTGATTTGAACAAGGTCCTGAACATGGAAAATTGGCAAAAAATAGAGGTGAGCGTTTGCCAAGTTATCCGCGGAAAAAAACAAAAATTCATGAACATTGTTAACACGCAGATCGAACTGCGGCAGGGAATAGAACGGCAAATAAAAACATGCAACAGAAATAAATGAACAATATGCAACATTTGAACAAAATAATATATTGCTTATAATGTGACAAATAAACCAGAAATAATAAAAATCGACACTGTATACGCGTGTACTCAAAATGAATTAAAATGTCGGGGGTTAAACTGCGTCAAATTATTTCCTGTCTCGACAAATTACGAAACAACTGTCATACAAGATCAATAATAATTCTCAGATCTTTATTTGTACGCTCATTGCCATCTTCGTCAAACTCAAAGTCCAAGTCGTCGTCACTGTAGCAGTCAAACAAAATCCCTACAACTTCTTCCTGAAGTTCATCGATATCGTCCCACACAATTTGGACTTGGCACTTTTAATCCACGGATTTCGCAGTCTGTCAGCTTGGCACTTTTCATTCATGTCTAATCACAATAAAGAGACAAGAAAAATGGAGTTGCTTTGCTGCCATGTCACACGATGCTTTTGTTTACAGTCTGGCAATTATCTTTGACCTTTATGCATCTGCTTTACTGATTGGCTAAGAATGACATCACTACTAGTATTTCATCATAAAGGTCAAATTGTGACATTGCTTTCTTATCAGACTCAACGCTTATCAATCATGGTGAAATTTATCATTCAGCAAGTTCCGGCGGTTGGAATGTCTCACTATATGAATATCGCGGTGGACTTGAAATAGGAAGTTTTTTTGTATCTAACGATAGAAGAATAGTTTTCATGACAGAAATGCAATAGTGGTGATGAAAGATGGTAAAAAAGTTGGCAGTCTTCGGCGTGACATTGCAAAATTGCTGGCCCCAGTTATGGATTCAACAGCTGCTAACAATTATTTTATGAAGCCCAAATAACGTGATTTCAAAGACTCTCTCAGTATGGGCTGCTACAATACTGCAACATTGGTTTAATTGTTAATGACGCTACGGCCGACCAAATGCAACACTCACTTACTTCGCGGCTCTCCTTGTACGATTTGCTTGAATCAATTTCTAAGGAAGCACAAACCAAACAGGCCACGACATACAGTACTCATTCCGCTCAACCTCCCGCTTTTATCGCTTATTTTCCGACCGTTTATCGCTTAATTTCCGACCGCTCACTGCTTTCCAACCGGAAACCGACCGCTTTTTTTCCGCTCGCTCGCGTTCGCTTTTGTTCGCTCGCTCGCTCGCTTTTGTTCGCTCGCTCGCTCCTGCTATGGCTGGCTTCAGAAACATCGTCCGCTTGCCAACCGACCGCTGGAGTAACAATGATCGTACATTGTATGTATAAACTTAAGTTTTTATTTGTAATAAATTTAGGTTTTAATGACGATTCAAAACACAACGCCTTTTGCTTCTCTGTGTTGGAACAAAGACGCCTTCAAATCACTTGACACATTGTATTGTAACGTTTGCTACGCAAGTCGAACTGTGACCTGTCTTTACATATTTACGTCCTTGTGTGTGTAGTTCAACTATATATAACTGGTCAATCGCGATATGTATTGAGTACTAGTATTTGTGTGTTGTGTGTGTGTTTCTGTGTGTGATTTTGACTAAATTTATTCCGAACGGCGCTCAAAATAATTTGACACTTTGTTATTTGCGAACGCAACTCACACTATGACCCTTACTCAATTTGCATAAGTAATACGAATGCTGTAGTTCAGAAAATCTATTGGTTAACTTTTGCTCGTGTCTGGGTGCGCAAAAAAACTGCACATATATTATCGCATAGCTGAATTTCTACAAATCATTGGACTTAAACTACTAGTATAATGAC